GAGGGGATAGCACCGATGGGGGAGGGGGCTGGCAATTCCAGGGGACGCCAGGAAAAGGAAGTTCCGGGACCCTCCCTGCTCTCGGCCCACCTCCGCTTCCTGCCTCATGCTTCACCTTGTCCCCAGCACCTGGGCTCCCACTAAATGCTTAGGAAATGTGACCTTAACTCCTGGGGGCCTCCCTCTGCAGCCCCAGCTTTCCTCCCTCCCTGGGGTTCCCCTCCAGCCTCTAACCCAACCCTTCCCCAGGCCAAGCTCTGGAAGCTGGCTCTGGGACTGTGCTCTGGGCACAAGTGGGCACCTGCGCCAGCCCCACCTGTGCCTGGGCTGTGGCCCTTCCCCACAGGGCGCCCACCATGGCCCCACCACTCTTGCTGCTGCTGCTGGCCAGTGGAGCGGCCGCCTGCCCGCTGCCCTGCGTCTGCCAGAACCTGTCGGAGTCGCTCAGCACCCTCTGTGCCCATCGAGGCCTGCTGTTTGTGCCACCCAATGTGGACCGGCGCACAGTGGAGCTGCGGCTGGCTGACAACTTCATCCAGGCCCTGGGGCCACCTGACTTCCGAAACATGACAGGGCTGGTGGACCTGACACTGTCTCGAAATGCCATCACCCGCATTGGAGCCCGCGCCTTTGGGGACCTGGAGAGCCTGCGCTCCCTGCATCTGGATGGCAACAGGCTGGTGGAGCTGGGCAGTGGCAGCCTTCGGGGGCCCATCAACCTGCAGCACCTCATCCTTAGCGGCAACCAGCTGAGCCGCATTGCACCGGGGGCCTTCGATGACTTTCTTGAAAGCCTCGAGGACCTGGACCTATCCTACAACAATCTCCGGCAGGTGCCCTGGGCTGGCATCGGCGCCATGCCTGTCCTGCATACGCTCAACCTGGACCACAATCTCATTGACACACTGCCCCCGGGCGCCTTTGCCCAGCTTGGGCAGCTCTCCCGCCTTGACCTCACCTCCAACCGCCTAGCCACACTGGCGCCTGACCCGCTCTTCTCCCGGGGGCGTGATGCTGAGGCCTCGCCTGCACCCCTGGTGCTGAGCTTCAGCGGGAACCCACTGCACTGCAACTGTGAGCTCCTGTGGCTGCGGCGGCTGGCCCGGCCCGATGACCTGGAGACCTGCGCCTCCCCACCGGGCCTGGCTGGCCGCTACTTCTGGGCAGTGCCTGAGGGCGAGTTCTCTTGTGAGCCACCCCTCATTGCCCGCCACACACAGCGCCTCTGGGTGCTGGAGGGCCAGCGGGCCACACTGCGATGTCGTGCTCTTGGTGACCCAGCACCTACCATGCACTGGGTTGGCCCTGATGACCGACTGGTTGGCAACTCCTCCAGAGCCTGGGCTTTCCCCAATGGGACACTGGAGATTGGGGTGACAGGCGCTGGGGACGCAGGAGGCTACACCTGCATTGCTACCAACCCTGCTGGTGAGGCTACTGCCAGAGTAGAGCTCCGGGTGCTGGCCTTGCCCCATGGTGGGAACACCAGTGCCGAGGGGAGCCGCCCTGGGCCCTCAGACATTGCTGCCTCGGCTCGAACTGCTGCAGAGGGTGAGGGCATTCTGGAGTCCGAGCCAGCTGTTCAGGTGACAGAGGTGACGGCCACCTCAGGGCTGGTGAGCTGGGGCCCAGGACGGCCCTCTGACCCCGTGTGGATGTTCCAAATCCAGTACAACAGCAGTGAGGACGAGACCCTCATCTATCGGTGAGGAGACATCCTGCACACACCACTCAGCCCCGTTTGGGTCCTAGCCACAGCTGACCCTGTGTCCCTTCCCCTGCTTGCCTCCTCTTTCAGCCTTTACCACTTCAACCCTGAACTCTAGGGGGAGCAGCCGCAGGCTTGGCTGCCCAGGGTGCAGGGGGAGGCAGGTGGGCCCTTGGGCAGGAGGTGGCTCAGGCATGGCTGCTGCCTCCCTGACCACCTGCCAGTGTGGCTAGTGTCTGAGGCACAGCCAAGCAGCAGAGACACGTTTTTCTGCCTCTGCTTTTGCCATCGCCTCCCACATCATCCTCTGCTTGCCTGGGGCCGGTGTCGGTACACACGTCTGTCCCTTGGCCCTTCCCACCCCATACTCATGTGCCTTGTTTTTCTGCCTCTGTGAGGGAACACACAAGGTCTGTGTTCTCGGCTGGAGGGGCTGTTCAGAGCCAGACCTGGGAGCACGGGGTGGAGGGCTGTGAATGGGCTGTGAGGTCCTGGCCTTGGGGAGACGGGAGTGGGGCTGGACACCAACACTGGGGCTCTTACCACCTGCCCTTGCCTGCAGGATCGTCCCAGCGTCCAGCCACCACTTCCTGTTGAAGCATCTGGTGCCCGGTGCTGACTACGACCTCTGCTTGCTGGCCCTGTCCCCTGTTGCTGGGCCCTCCGACCTCACAGCCACTAGGCTACTGGGCTGTGCCCACTTTTCCACGCTGCCGGCCACGCCCCTGTGCCATGCCCTACAGGCCCACGTGCTGGGCGGGACCTTGACTGTGGCCGTGGGGGGTGTGCTGGTGGCTGCCTTACTGGTCTTCACTGTGGCCTTGCTGGTTCGGGGCCGGGGAGCCGGGAATGGCCGCCTCCCACTCAAGCTCAGCCATGTCCAATCCCAGACCAATGGAGGCACCAGCCCCACACCCAAGCCCCACCCACCACGGAGCCCCCCACCCCGCCCCCAGCGCAGCTGCTCCCTGGACCTGGGAGATGCCGGGTGCTATGGCTATGCCAGGCGCCTGGGCGGGGCCTGGGCCCGGCGGAGCCACTCTGTGCATGGGGGGCTGCTGGCGGCAGGGTGCCGGGGCCTAGGGGGCAGTGCTGAGCAGCTGGAAGAGAGTGTGGTATGATGGGAGGGGGCGATTCTCCTTGCGCCCTGAGGAACGAGCAGGGTGGCCGGGGGAGCCCAGGTCATGCAGCTGTCTGGCATGGCAAGCCACACTGCCCTGGGCCCCTCCTGGTTTTCATCCTTGGTACCTCAGGCTCCCCATGTACTTGGTGGGACAGGGAGCCCTTTCCTTGGTTCTGGCCTCCAGACCAGGGTAAAGGGACAGGTCCCTCCGAGAGGTGCTCAGAGCCACCAAGGCAGGGGCTGCAGCCACCAAGTGGGAGTGTTGTTTCTGTTTATAATAAAATTGTTGGGGACACCTCAGTGCTGGTCTTGGGTCTTGTCCTGCTCCATCTCTACGAGGATGTCAGGGAGGATGGCCTTGGGGCTGGCAGAGGCATACAAATCAGTGCAGGCATCAAGGCTGGGGCTGCTAGACCCAGCAGAGACGACCCTAGCAGCCCGGGCTCCTGCCCACCATATCTGCCCTCTACGGACAGCCCAGGGCACTGCGTGTCTCCTGGCTGGAGCAGCCGTGGTCTGGGCAAGCCGCCTGAGCTTCTGTACTCCTGCCCATAGCACAGAGGATGCCCTGCCTGGCAGGTGAGCACAGGACATGGCTCATGGTGTGTGAAGCCCAGGTATGTTGTGCTGTGCACGAGCACCTCCCTGACAGCACCCGGCAGGTGGCAGTCTGAGGGGACAGTAGTAGGACCACATTTAGTGACTAGAAAAGGTGGGTGATGGCACAGCCCTCCTGGGCAAAGGGACCTGGTTGGTAACAGCCTCCTGAACATGGCTCAGTAAATGTCACCATGGCTCCCATTAGGAATGGGCCTATTCACTGTCTCCAGGAGCTTCTGGATTTGTAAGATAAGCCCACAGGGCTGAGAACGCCACTGCCACTGTCACTCCAGGGCCACCCCTCCCTCCCTCCCTGCAACCCCATCCTGTCATCCTCCAGGCCTAGTGAGACAGCTCGCCTCCCTGCTGCTCCTTCCAGGCCTGAACTGCTGTGCCAGGAGGACTTCCCTCGAAAGAAGGCCCCAACCTGCCCTCGTCACAGAGAGGTGGCTGGCTGGGGTGTGCGTACAGCCTCTCTCGCACTCTCGTCCTCATCCTGACAGTCAGGCCAGGGCCCACTGCTCTGCTTCCTCTGCTGGGACCACACCCTGACAGCACTGATCAGGTACAGCCTTGGGCTCTCTATTCTGAAGGGGCAGGAGCCCTCCGCAAATGATCTCTCCCAGACACAAGGCTTCTCATTTCCTTATCTCTGTTGAGGACTTTGTTTCTATTTATTTAAACCAGCATCTCTCTTGGTCATTTCCAAGTGTGTGTTCTGGGGCTGAGAAGTAGGTGCGTGTGTGGAGGCCTGGCCTACACACTTGTGTGCACACACAGTGGAAAGCAATCTCCCCTACTGTCCATCGGAAGTGTGTTTCCCTCATGGAGAAATACCAGTGTGTCAGGGGTGCTGTGGCTGTCACCCTGGGATGCCAGTGTCTGCCTTCTATATTTTCATCAAGTTCCTAGATGTGCCTGACCCTCAGCCGAGCTGAGACGGGGCAGGGGTGTCACATGGCTAAGAGGGAGGGAGGAAAGGACAGGCAGTGCGGGAGGGGCCTGAGCACCAGGCTGGAGAGCCAGCATTAGCAGGAAGCTCAGGGTGTGCCAGGAACCAGCAGCCTGGTCTGGTGCACACTTGGGAAGGTCACAGCACCCCCAGAAACCAAAAACCCTCATCCTGCTGCCATTCATGGTCATTCTGTTCACCTGAGATGTGCCTGGGCCTGCTGGGGTATAGGACAAGGGTGAGGCCCTATGGCTCTGGGGAACCAGGTACTGAGGGTGAGGAGGGAGCAGAACAACCAGGGCACAATCACAGGGGGCAGCCAGGGTCACCAGTAAGACAACACAGGATGGGGAGCCCAGTCACCCCCACCCATACAATCCTTCTGACACTACCAGTTATAGGACACCCAGCCAGGAAAGCCAAGCACATGGCAGACAGAGCACAGGGTGTTGGAGTGAATGGCACGACATACCTCTGCTTCAAGTGCAGGACACAGCCCTGGGCCAAGGAGCCCATGTGGCTTCCCACAGAACAGTGCAGACCCCAGTGAACGGGGAGACCGGCCAGCCGGCCCAGCACACAGGCTCAGAAGTACTCCTGCCCACCCTGCTTCCCACACTTTCTGTGCCCTCTGCAGCCCCTTCCATACAGCCTATGGGCAGGTGGGAGGGATGACCATGGGGTCCTGAGGGGACAGCACCATCGCAGCCCGACACACTAGCTGAGCCTCAGCAACAGGTAGGGCTGGAAGAAGCTGTGGGCAGGATGAGGCCACACCCAGCAGTGTCAGTGTGGGCAGGGGAAGAGGAGGGCAGGACTCCCACGGCAGCTGAGGGCCTGAGTCTCTGTCCCCAACCTGGTGCAATGGCAGGTGCTGCCTGTTCAGAGGGCAAGACGGTTTTCTTGGCTGTGACTTCATCTCTAGCTACAGACACTAGTAATGAATGGAGCCTAATGAAGGGGTGGCGGGCATTTCAGATCCTCACTGGAGGGCAACCACCAGCCAGAAGAAGGCCAGCGGGCAAGGCCTGAGGTCAGGGACATGTGGCCAGTCCCTTGTCCTCTCCCTGCTGCACCCACACAGCTGTCCCTGGTGCAACCCTTGCCCTGCAGATACCAAGCCAGGTAAGGGCGGGACTGGTGGGAGGCTCTGACCTCATCACTCATCTGCACAGGGTGGGGGCTCTCACTAAGGCAGCCAAAGAATATCCTGGGGAGTCTCAGCAAAGTGCAGGGTACTGCTCAAACCCAAGGGGTTTGAACTTCCAGGAGGGGCCTGGTAGCCTGGAGCACATACAATAGATAGCTAAGAAATAGGCATAAGAAATAGAGTGCATCTCCCCAAAAGAAGCCACCAGGTGGGAGGCCTTCAGGCCGGGCAGCAATCATCTGAGGAGGGGCCCAGGAAGCTCAGGGACACCGAGGCCTGAGTGGGCCCTGGTACCAAGAGAGTCTACCATGCCACTAGGCTAAGGAACCACTGACCTCAACAAAGTCAAAGCCACAAGCAAAGCACATAGAGCCACATCAGCCGCTGGACAAGGACGTGAATGATCATGGGCTCCTCCAAGGACCAGGGGCAAAGACAGATGGGGCAGCAGCCTCTCACCTTCACGCCTCGGACTCTGAACTCAGCGAGGGCTCGGCTCATCTTGGTGGCGGCTGTGGGGTGGTCTTTGCCATGGGCGATGACTTTGACCAGGAGGGAGTCGTAGTGGGGTGAGATGACGGCTCCTTGGAAGGCAGAGGCGTTGTCAAGGCGGATGCCCATGCCCTCCCCACTGCGGAACACCTACAGCGACAGGAAGCAGAAGTCAGCAGCTGGGCTGAGCTCTGGGGTCACGGAGGCTCCCAATCCACCCACCAAGTTTTGCTCTACTGCTGCCAGCAAACCCAGCACAGCCCTCAGAGTCCCACATCACTGCTGCCTCAGATACGGCAGGGAGGGAACAGAGAAGCTGAGACCCTGCCTACCCCAGGGCTGGTGCACACACAGCTAGAGTGTGGAAAGGGGACCTGGCAGGCAGGGGCCAGTCTCACCAGCCTCCTGCCCCGTCTGACCAACCTTCTACCCTTGGATCCCTTTGCGTGTCCACCCATTTGTTCCCGGAGCACATGTAGAGCACCTACCACCAGCCAGATGCTGTGGCCACAGCAGCTAAACCTAAGTCTCTCTCAGGCTGCCCAGCAGGAGGAAACACAGTCTAGGGATGGGGACACTGCAGACAATGAGCAGAGAGAGGAGACAAAGCAGGCTGACCAAAGGGTGTTTTGGAATAAAGGGTGATGGGGAAGGCTTGATATGACCCCTTCCTTCTCAAAGGCGAGGCTGGGAGGAGCAGGAGGCAGAGAGGAACACAGACAGGGACGGCAGCACCGAGGCGGAAGGAAATCCGCCGAACGTGAGCAAGGCCAGGTGTGAAGGGCTGGTGTGGGCAGCCCAGGAAGCCAACCCTGGCGGGACAGGTCAGAGATGGAGGACACGGAGGGAGGTGAGGGCCTGGGGAGATGGCTCGGGGTGGCCCCAGGTGACTGACACCCTGGTATGTGCAGGTGAATGCTTATGACAGCACAGGGACAGAGGTGGGGGGGCCTCAGGTCATGATGGGAAGAGGGGGACGGAAGGGCAGCCCCGAGGACCCGGGGACACCCACCGTATCACCTTTCTGCTTCTAAGGGGCACAGGCCTGTGCTCAATAAAGAGGAACTTTATAAAATATTTAAGGGTGGACACTCAACTGTGAGCAGGAACCACCAGCTAAAAATACTCTGTGGTGAGCAGGCTCTGAGCAGCTGGCCATGGACATGGAGGGGAGAGAGGCGGCGCCCACGCAGCTGGCAGCTGTGGGCCAGGCCACGGGCCATGCTGGCCAGCCAGGCCCAGCAGACAGGCTGTGGGGCTGCGCTGGCCTGGGGCCGCCCGCCCCCCAGGGACTCTGAAGCTTCCAGAAACAAAGGCAAGCCATTGACCTGCAGAGGCCCACAGGCCCTGCTGCTCGGGAGCCCGCCCGCCCCTGCCCCATTCCATCCTCCTTCGCCTCCTGGTCTCAGAAGCCCAGCATCCTGCTCCCACTTGACTCTGGGGCCATGGGGAGGGGCTGCTGCTGATGCGCGGGACCCAGGGGGGGCAGGGGCAGGGGAGGCGGGGAGACGGGGAAGGAGGGAAGTTGCTTTCAGAGACTGGGCTTCAGCACCGCGGTGAAAGAGAAGGCAAAGGAAGTGCAAGCTCTGGACTTCTCACTGCCCTCTGCGGACCTTGCGGACCGCCCTCACTCACCCTTGACAGTTTCCTGAGTTCTGCTCACCCCCAACAGGGACCTAGCCCTGGGGTCCTACTCTGCCAGTCACCACCCCCCCAGAGGGCAGGGTGGAGGCCAGCAGTTCCAGCTCTGTCACAGAGAGGCTTTGGGGCTCCTGAAGTGCTGAGGCCCTGGGGTTTGAGCATGGGACCCAGCTCCTTGCTCCACCACAGTGGTGACCCCATTCCTAGGTGATTCACCAGCTGGTTTCTCCTGGCCTTTGCACAGGCCACTCTCTTCATGGAATGCTCTCCCCTTGCTCTAGGACAATGCATAGCTCCCATGTACTACTGTAGGCCAGCTCAGACCAGTCTTCAGGAGGATTCATCCTAACTGCTGGGCCCCTAGGCAACCTGGTGCCACAGACCCAAGTACCCTGGAGAGGTAGAAAGAATCTCACACCAGCTGAGGCTGGAGTCACTATCAAAACGTCATCTACCTCGATGCGGCCTGTGTCGGGCTGGAAGCTGCGTGCAGGGTCCTCCGTCGTGACCCGGCACTGGATAGCGCAGCCGTTGATGCGGATGTTCTCCTGTCGCAGGCCCAGGTCAGGCAGGCTTCGGCCCTCAGCCACGTGGATCTGTGCATGGACCAGGTCCACACTGCAGGAGGGGACACAAGGGAGGAAAGGAGGCTGATGCAGGGCACTGCAGCAGGCCACTCTGATTAGTGGCTCTACCCGCCCCTACCCCGTTCCCACTAAGGGATGGGGACAGCAGTGGAGGTGCACTGCAGTGCAGCAGCTGGAGGTTGCGTGCAAACAGAGGCATTCTGCCCCTTACCCCCACTGCCAAAGCTCCCCATCCAGGGCTCTGCCCTGGGGTGTCCGACCCCGGAGCCTGCCTCTGTGAGCCAAGACTGGAAGCCTTGGCCCAGGAGCTCTGTAGGTTTGGTCTGCAAATGAGACCATGGCATTAGAGAGCCAGCATGGGTGGACACTCTTACCCCAGGGCCTGCATCCCTGCTAGGCTGTGCCCGAGCCCCCTTCTGGGGAAGCTTTCAGAGCACAAGGCTCCTGTGTATGTGGCTTTAGAAGCTCAGCCTAACTGCCATGCTCCTAAGGAGATAACAAATACAAGTGGAACAGCTGTTAAAAAAACAAGCCCTTGAGGTTTTAAATTTACTGTCACTGACGCTTATGGTAAAGAAGGCCTAGAAACTACGCAGGCAGGTTTTCCTCCATGTTGGTATCACCTGCTGCTCCACTTCAGAGCAGCGATCGTGACCATGCTGTGCTGCCACCTCTAGGCGCAACGGACCAAGGCTTCCATGTTCCATCGCGACATTTGTGTTCCCATCCAAGGACGAGACTGAGGGCCTCTAACCTGCGCTCCACACAGCTGAGGTCCTGGGGCAGCCGGAACCCTGAGCTGTGTGACCCAGAACCCTCGCTCCAGAGCAAACAAAGCCATCATCCTTATGAGAGCAGCATCCAGGCAGCAGCAGGATGAGGACAATCTCACAGGTCAGAGCATACAGCTTGACACCTGCCCCGACTCTACCCCTAACCTCGGAGGAAAGTGCTGGGCTCGGGCACCTGCCGGGCAAAGGCGGCCGCCCTGGGGCACCCTCTGTCTTGGGGCAGCCAGCAGCTGGGGAGGAGCTGGAGTCAGGCACATTCTGCGGGGAGGTGGGCTGGCCCAAAGCCAATGCTTAGTACTTAAATGGTTCAAAATATGTATCTTGAAATAAGGAAAGCCATTCTAATTGCTGCTTACAGAAAAGGCAGATTTTAAAAAGTGTCTACACCCAAAGCTTGTGGGAGAATGCTATGTACTTTTCAAAAGCCGTGAGGTGAGGTGTTGCTTACCCTTTGATCAGTTAACCTTACTAAAGGTGATCTCCTTATATACAGCCACAAAAATGTTCATGGACACACCTTGTACCACAAAAGCCAGAAAGGACTTGACTTCCTAACAGAAGGTGACATGCCTGAGTTTTAAAATATACAGATGGTAGAATACTATGCAAGTCATTAAAGGTGTTTAGAAAGAATAACGGCTGGGGGGAATGCCTTCAACAAATGGTAAGTTTTAAAACAGGATAAAAATTCTAGCTGGGCATGGTGGTGCACACCTGTAATCCCAACACTCTGGGAAGCTGAGGCAGGAGGACTGCAAGTTTGAGCCCAACCTGGGTAACTTGGAAACTTAGACCCTGACTAAAAATAAGTAAATTTTTAAAAAGGGCTGGGGATAGAACTTAGTACAAGGGCTGTGGGTATCTCCAGTACCAAAAATATATATATAAAACATCTTAACTGCTTCAAATTATACAGCTTTTTTTTAAAACAAAGGAAACACTCCAAGAAACTAAGAGAGGGCACAGGAGATACAGTGCAGCTCGAGGCGGGACAGAGAAAGACTGGGTTCCGGTTCCCGCAGTGTGACACGGATGAGACTCTTAACGCTGGGCCTCCGTTTCACCCTCTGAAAACGGAGGCGACGCGCCCCTTCCTCACAGTGCCTGGCCCCAGGCACACGTCAGCATCCTCATTTTGAAGTGGGGGGCCGAATCATTTTTATTTGCTCCTTTTTATTTTTACAGTAACCAGATGATACTTATTTTATATATTTTTTTAAAGTTGAGTCCCTGGATCTTTCCTTGCTCTCTACCATAGTGGAAGCAAGTGCACCCCAGCCACTGCCCTCAGGCGGGGCAGGTGATAGGAGACCCCTTGCTGCCCCTCCCGCCCGGCCCACACTCACTCTGTGATCTCCTCGGTGACCGTGTGCTCCACCTGCAGGCGGGAGTTGACCTCGATGAAGTAGTGCTTGCCGTGCTTGTCCACCAGGAACTCCACGGTGCCAGCATTCTCGTAGCCCACCTGCAGGGGCAGCCGGGGTGCAGCTAGGGGGGCGTCCACAGGGGCCCACCCATAACGTGCCTTCCATGAACAGCCTGTGGCAACTCTGCCCACAGACGGATGGACAGGAGCTACCAGCCCGGCCCCAGAGCCAACACCCAGGACACAGGACACTTTCCCTGGAGTCTGTGAGGCCCGCACCCTGGTCTCTTGGCCTGCCTGCCCCTCGGACCTGCAGATCTGGGCTTCCTGGACCCTGCTGTCTGTGGAGGGAGTTTCAGGAAGTTCCTGTCTCCTCCATGCTGTCATCACCTGTCATCCTCCCAAGAGATGTCACCTGAGAGGACCCAGCACATGATGGCTTTCTCAGACTGCAGCCCTAATTTGAGTTTCACTTCTAATGCTGCCAGCATCACACCAGATGTACATGGGCTTTCCTAAGTCCCCCGTGAGTGTCAGTGGTCTGGGCAATGACCACAGCAAGGTCAAGGTGAGACCGTGCCTTCCCAGCTCTGCAGGAGGCCCTGACTGACCAAGCGTGGCCCTGCTTCCACTGCCGGGGAGCTACGGGATCATCCGCTGTCTGTCACCTATTCTGGGCCCAGGCTATCTGGGAGGGCTGAGGTGGTGCAGCTTTGGAGGCCCCGGAGCCGGAACCTAGGACAGTGTGGCCTCGTCTGGGTGCTAAGGAGCCAGGCCCAGGAAGATCAGAAGGCAGGGCCCCCGCCACGTGCCTGCTGGCACAGGTCATTGCTGGGGTGGATGGCTCAGCACCTCCTGCCGCCGCACACTCCAGGGCTCCCCACTGGCATGCCTAGAGGCACAGAGGCTGGCAGAGGGCGTCAGTGAGGAAGTGGATGTGACAAATGTGATACAGGGGAAGTTAAGAGTGAGCAAGCGGGGGTGGTGTCTTCATTTTGACAGAATCTATGGGTCTCATCCCCTTTATTCTGGTGTGAGCTGGAGCCAAAGAGAAGCCCAGTCCCTGTGTGTGTGTGTGTGTGTGTGTGTGTGTGTGTGTGTGTGTCTGCACGCGCACACACACGAGGAAATGGCGGGTTTGTCTCCTCCTGCTTCTCAGCCGCTCTGGGCTCCAGGCCTGGCTGTCCCAGGGAGAGGGATGCCAAGGGTCCTCTGGCCTCCCGGAGCCCCCTTCACCCCTGCCCTCCTGAGAGGGTCAGCTTGGTCTCTCTGCTCCCCAGTAGCCTCTCCACAGGGCCCCGCGGGTCCCCGCCGTGAGGCCTGCCCTGGGAGAGGCTCCTGCCCTGCCCTGCCTTGTCCCAGGAGCACCCTCCCTCACCTGCTTAGCAAGCTTGACAGAGTCACTGGTGAGCCGCGTCCGAAGCTGGGGGTCCAGGTGGGCAGCAGGGGCAATCTCCACCACTTTCTGGTGCCGCCGCTGGATGGAACAGTCCCGCTCATACAGGTGCAGGATGTTCCCATACTGGTCCCCTAGGACGGATGGTAAGGGGGACTCAGCCTTTTCTGGAATCCAGATGCCTCTTGGGTTGCCCCCCTACCCCCCATCTAGGCACTTTGGCCAGACAGCGCCTCCTTGCTGTGGAGGGTGGCAGCTAGCAGGGGAGCTGGTGAAACCCCACTGCCCCTTTCCTACGTGCTGTCCCTGGAAGGACCTGTCCCATGGGCTGGCAGCTGTAAGCCAGGAAGATGTCAGCTCCTACCCCCTGCTGCCTGGGCACAGCATCCCAGACTGAGGCTTCAGGGAGACTCCCCACTCACCTAAGATCTGCACCTCGATGTGGCGCGGCTTCTCAATGAACTTCTCCACGAACAGCGCTCCATTCCCGAAGGCCGCCAGAGCCTCAGAGTAGGCCCGGGTGTAGTTCTCCTCCAGCTCCTGGGAGGGCCAGCGAGGCCAGACAGACATTGGTGCCTCGCCTGGTGTGGGCCTCCGCTAGGACCCTGCCCACTTCCCAGAGCCCTGCGGGGGTCACATCCTGGACCAGGTGGTCTGCCCGTCCTGCTCCCGGCCCTTGGTGACATCTGCACCTCTGCTCACCTCGTAGCTGTGCACGACCCTCATGCCACGGCCCCCGCCCCCATAGGCGGCCTTGAAGATAATGGGGAAGCCGTAGGTGTTAGAGAACTCATGGGCCTCGTGTAGGGAAGTGATGGGGGCGTCCGTGCCAGGGACCACAGGGACACCTGTTGGGGGACAGGTTTAGGGGGTTCTGTAACCAGCTAGAGTCCCTGTCACACCTGCCATGGAGAAACACTCCTGCTGGCCCTTCCCTGCCAGCCCCTCACAAGGAGCTGTGTGTCACCTGCAGCAATGGCGATGGCCCGGGCCTCCACCTTGTCTCCCATCTTGCGGACCACCTCTGGGCTCGGCCCAATGAAGCGGACGCCAGCATCCTGGCAGGCTTGGGCGAAATCTGCACGTTCAGACAGGAACCCGTAGCCAGGGTGCACAGCGTCCACGTTGTTCTCCTGCAGTGGGACAGGAGGGCAGGCGCCCCTCAGTCTCTGTGGCCTCCTCCTCCGCTGCCACCTCCCCTGCTCAGCCCCACCACCCCCACTCCCACAACGCAGGACCCGGCCTGGCTGCGGGAGGCCCCGCTCACCTTGGCCACCTTGATGATGTCTGGGATGTGCAGGTAGGCCTGCACCGGCGTGAGGCCACGGCCAATGAGATAGGCTTCATCCGCTTTCTGCCGGTGCATCTGCCCCGTGTCCTGCTCTGAGTAGACAGCCACAGTGCGGATGCCTAGCTCCGTGCAGGCCCGGAACACTCGGATGGCAATCTCACCTGCGGACAGCGGCGAGAAGTTAAGACTCCTGGGTCCCTAGAGAAGCAGAGGGGGCAGGGGCGGGCAGAAGAGGAAGAAGCCGAGGCTGAGCTGGCCCGTTTTCCACTTGCCAGCCTGGAGGGCTCACCTCTGTTGGCCACCATGACTTTCTTGATGGGCTTGTACTCTAGGCGCCGGACATTTGGGGAGGCAGCGGAGGCAGTGGAGGTTCGGCGAATCCCCAAGAGCCTCAGGCCCCCTTTAACTGTCTGGAACTTCAGCATCTGGGGAGGGCAGGCAAGTCCAGGTTAGAACAGCCTGGGCCACTGAGGCCCCTCAAAAAGGGAGCATCCCAAGCCGCACACGGAGGCCAGCACCACCCTCTCCTCCAGCTGTGCTGAGCTGTAGAGAGGGAGCAAACCCAAAGCTAGCGAGACCCCCAGCTCGCCCCGAGGATCTCATGTGCACTGTGATGTTTGAATACACTCCAATTTCAAGCTCATGAAGCAATGTTAGGGGCTGTGAGGAGGGCCGAGGTGGACACATCTTGTGTGTGTCTGCCTGGCCCCTTTGATTCTCCGTGTGCAGGCGCGTGGCCCAGGCCAGGCCCAGTGACGGAGCCTCCCCGACCAACATCCAGCTCAGTCTCTCTGCCAGGGTCCTGCTCACCAGCCAAAGAGGGTGGGAGAGCAAGGGTCAAGGCAGCACAGTTAAAAGGCAGATTTCTACAAAAGCACCAACAACAGACCTGTCTACTGAGGGCCACAAAACAAATTATCAACAAATCACCCCAGGCAAATGAAATAAGCCAGTCACAGAAAGTGCCATGGATTCCACCTGCAGGATGGGAGTAGAATGTGGGTGCTGCCACTGGGAGGGGCCAGGAGCGCGGCGAGAGTGTTGAATGGGGATAGAGTTTCAGATTTGCAAGGTGATAAGAGTTCTGTGGGTGGACAGTGGGCACAATCACAAACAATGTGAATCTACTTTATGCCACTGCACCGCACACGTGGACGGGGTTAAGATGGTAAACTCCAGGTCATGTGTATTGTACCACACAAAAACTTGTTTGTTTGTTTGTTTTTTTCTTTTAATCAACTGAGGACAACTTTCATACCAAAATTTAAGAGGCCTTGAGGTTGACCTCTCTTTCTTTTGGTACTGGGAATTGAACTCAGGACCTTAGTGTTTGCCACGCAGGCACTGCACTGCTGAGCTATATCCCCAGCTCTGACCTCTCATTTTATAAGTGAAGGACACCCAGGCCCAGGCAAGTTGGAGAAGAGAGCTGCTCAGAGCAGGGCCTGAGCCCGCACGTGACAGGGCCTTTATCCAGCCATGTGATTAATTTCTTACTAAAAGCTTTAAAATGCTTGACTCAGCCATCTTAAGTAGGGAACGTAAAAATAAACCCAATAAATAAAACAAATATTGCAAAAACTCTGGCATCACATGATAGCCAGCAATATGAAGAAGAAGGGGAAATAAAGGTAGAATAGACAGGAAAGAGAAAAGAAGACATGAGGAAATAAATCCTAGGAAAAGAACAGGGGAGGAGGCTGGCCCAAAGGCCAACCCAGCCAGGCACGGTTTGAGGCCTTAGGACACCACAGGGCCTGCCTGCCCAAGCGGGAGAGCCACCAAAAGAAGAATGAGACATGAACAAGCTCATTTGGGATCATGACAAGTGCCTGGAAGACAGGAAACAGACCATGCTTTGTGAATTTCAGGGGAAGGGGGTCACTGGGCTGGGGCCTTCTTGGGGAGAAAGGTGGCCATGCACAGATGGGCAGGGACAGCAACTGCCAAGGCCGTGAGGGGACGAGCTCGGCGTATTCAAGAAGGCTGGCAGGCAGGGAGCCTGCGGCTTCTCTCAGGCCTCTGTCGGACGGCCATGGATGGAAATCAGGGACGGGATACAGTGCGCAGTTAGAATCTCTCTCCCTGGACGGGCCAGAGGTGGGACTGACGGAGGGGTCTGTCCGGACTATGCAGAGGCTGAGGCAGGAGACACAGAGCCTCTGACTAGGGTAGGAGCCACGGGGCTGAGCTGAGGGAGAGGTCCAGTGGGTACAATAAGCAAGACTTGCTGAGAGGCCACTGACGCTGAGAGGAAGAGTCCTGCAGGATGGGCCAAGACGACTGCCCTCTGGAGGAGGACTAGAGAGAAACGGCCGGCTTGGGGCAGGACGGAGCTCATGGAAGAGCAAGGGTCAAGGCAGCAGAGCCTGGCACCATTAGCAATGCAGCGGGGGTAGAGCCAGAGAGAGGACATTCTAGAGAGGACATTCCAGAGAGAAGCAAGGCAGCCCTGCACCCTGGGACCTACCAACATCAAGGAGCACCCAAGAGTGGGGAGGAAATGGGGAGCATAGGGCAGTTGTTGGGCAGGAGCGGGAGGGGTCAGCCATGAGCTCAGAAGCAGAGTAAGACGGCGCCAAGGAGGGTCCTGGCAGCGTGCCAGAGTAGGAGGGGCATCTCCGTGAAACCCAGCTGTACAGACAGAGGTAGGGTCACCTTGCTGGGCTCCTCATTTTTCTAATATAGTGGGCAATAATCACACCTAGAGGGGGTCCTTATTATAGTCACCCCCTTATCTGAGGAGACTCATCCTAAGCTAAAACTGCAGACAGTATGGAACTCCACATGTACTATGCTTTTCCTATATGCACACACCTATGATAACGTTTAATTTATGCATTAGGCTCAATAAGTGATTAACAATAAGTTGTAACAAAATAGAATAATTATAACAATACAATGTAATAAAAGCTATACGAATATGGTCTCTCTCAAAAGTACCTTATGTACTGTAGATCTGAGCAACCTCACAGGAGTTTTTTCTTTCCTTCTTATGTGGAAAACCTGCAACTTTTTCACTTGAAGTACAGGATGGCTTCACTCTGGCATATTTGACCTGCTAGCATCACTCCTCTTGTATTTTGGTGCCATTAAAGTAAACTAGGGGTTACTTGAAGATAAGCACTTGCCGGGCCTGGTAGCACATGCTTGTAATCCCAGCACTCGGGAGGCTGAGGCAGGAGGATCATTGTGAGTTCAAGACCAGCCTGGGCTACAAAGTGAGCTCAAGGCCAGCCTGAACTGCATAATGAGACCCTGTCTCAAGAAAAAAAATAAAAAAAATTAAAAAATAAGCACTGTGGTGCCACATCGGCAATCTGAGACCTGAGATAGCTACTAGCAGGTGGGCAGTGAATACAGTATGGATGTGCTGGGCAAAGGGGTGACTCAGGTCTCTCTGGTAGGAAGGAGGACAGTGTAAGATTTCATCACATCACTCAGCACACAATCTAAAACTTTGGGTTGTTTGTTTCTGGAATGCTCCATTTAATATTTTTGGACCATGACAGACCACACAGTGAAGAAAAGCAAAACTATGATAAGGTGAGGACCACTGTAGTTACAAGGTGGAGACACCAAGCAAAGCACCAAACCACTTCCCGTGCCTCTTGGTGAGATTCACCACAGACAAGGGCTCCCCAAACTCCTGCCTTAAGTGTCCAGTCTGGATCTAACCAGAAGCCAAGGGGCAAACCCAAATTAAGCGCAACCTCTTTGAAGAACTGGCTTACACTCTTCAAATACCTCAAAGCTCCTGAGAGACAAAAGACTACAGGATAGCCAGGCGTGGTGGCACATGCCTGTAATCCCAGCAATCAAGAGGCTGACACAGGAGGATCATTGCGAGTTCGAGACCAGCCTGGGCTACAAAGTGAGCTCAAGGCCAGCCTGAACTGCATAGGAAGGCCCTGTCTCAAAAAGACAAAAAACAAAACAAAAAAAAAGACTACAGGATAGGCTCAGATGAAAGGAGGCCAAAGAGAGCAACTAAACACAGGTGTGAGCTGGACTGGACCCTGGATTCTTCCTCTATCAAGGCCCCTGAAAGGGGAATGACAAAGTTTAAGATTGGCAGGTTGAACAGTACTGTGTTGGCATTCATCTTGCTCAGTGGACTGCAGTTATGGGAGAGAACATCCTCATTCTCAGGAAAAAACACTGAAGTATTCAGGGGCTTAAGAGCATCCTGCCTGTACTTTATACTCCAATGCGTCAGGGAAAAATATGAGAGCAACGAAGTACTAAGATGTGGGGAATCTGAGGAAGGGACAGAAGAGAACTCTCTACTTTTACAATTTTTGTTTGTTTGTTTGTTTTCCGGTACCGGGAATTGAACTCACGACCTCGCGCTTGCCAGGCAGGCGCTGTGCCGCTGAGCTAAATCCCCAGCCCCTACCTTTACAATTTTACATTATCTGAAATCACCTGGAAATAACAAGTGAAACCATACCTATTGCTAATCTGTCAGAGGAATGGACCTCAGAGGGTGCCCACACCCCTGCAGAGGTGCCAAGTATCAGCCAGGTTCCCAGGGTGGAGACAAGGGGTCCTCACACCCTGCACAGCACAGAGAGAATACAGACATCCAACCCATTATTTCCCACTCCCAGATCTACCGGCAGCCTCCAATTCTCTGAGCTCTGTTCTGGGTGGGTGATCGGAAGCTGCTTGCCAGGAGGAACTGTTTCCTCGCTGGGAGCAGGTGGTGCTGGCAGTCTAAGATACACACCGGAAAGTAGGTGTGGGGCGCAAATCTCACCCTCCCCTGGGCACCAAATGTCCATTCTGCTCAGGGCCAGGCTGGGGCTAGGTCAAATAAGCCCAAACCATCACGTAGGGTAAAGTCAAGAAGAGGCACAGGGCTCCTCTAGGACAAGCTCAGCAACAAAACAGTAAATACATGAAGCTTCCCCTCCCCCAACATCAAGCACTCAAAATACAACAAGGAGGCATGCTCTTGCCCATGAAATTAGCAAGTATCCTAAACCATAATATGCAGGTTGGTAAGATCCTCAGGAGACAAAGCCACAGGCCTGGTCTGGTTATCAGTGCAGCTTCACTGGGAGCCATTTGCAAATCTATCAAGAACCTTTAAAGTATTTATACTCCTTGGCCCAACTGTTACCATTGTAGGAATTCAAATATTCTAAAATGGGAACCAAGATGTGTGCATAAAGATGTTCAAAACAGCATTATTTACAATAGCAAATAATGAGAAACATAAATCTCCAGCACTAGGGCACCACACGGACATTACAGTATCAATAGTAATGTGTCTGCATGGGTTTTGATGACATGGGAAATGCTTATGACAGAGCACGAAAGTGAGAAAACAAAAAGATAAATGGCAGGATCTCATTAAGATTTCTTTTCTTTTCTTTTTTGTCTTTTTGAGACAGGGTCTCATTCTGCAGTATAGGATGGCCTTGAGCTCACTTTGTAGCCCAGACTAGCCTCGAACTCAAGGTGATCCTCCTGCCTCAGCCTCCCATGTGCTGGGATTACAGGAGCGCGCCACCATGTGCAGCCCACATGAAGCTTTCTTCAAAGCTAGGTAACAATGGGCAGGATTGTGTTAGGGTGCCACGCCCTTCACTGCCAGAGGCCCAGATGGAAGCAGTGCTGTCTTCTCCTTCTCCTTCTCCTATATTTCCATACGGAAAATTTCCCATATTTTCTCCACTGGGGATTCATTAAATATAGTTAGAAGACAAAATGAAATATGGGGGGGGGGCAGGAATACCTATGCAGAAAAAGGTCAGGGGAGTGTCCTGGTGAGAAGACAGGGCAGGGAAACCACACACATACCTTGCCGGCCCCACCTATGGGCCCAGCTGAGCCTGTCCTGTCAGAAGGTGAGCAGCCTCTCAGCTGGGAAAGGCCCACTGACACCACAGTCCTCACATTTCCGGGAAGGCTCGAGCTATTTCCAGGGAGTCCTGTCTCTCGCTCCCAGCTGGGTGGTTTTGCTCCTGTGCTCATGTGACCGCTTGCTTACCCACTATCTTTGGGTAAACAGGTCCTTTTTGCAATCTGCTCTGCCCCCCTGTCATACATACTCCCCACTGCCTTTTCCAGATAAAGAGATTCCCTTGGATGTTATGCCAGAGGCCAGTCACCCCCAGGGCCCCTAGAGGGTCGACCCCTGCCCTACAGCATGGCCTCCAAGCGTCCCCTGAGCTGACAGTGCTCAACTATCTGTCCACCGCCTCAGCAAGCCCTTTCACACACACGCTCGCCTGTGATCCTCACAAATGCTGTTGGGAGGCCAGGGATTCCCTCCCTCGCATTCCCTACTCATGGAGAACCCAAGGTTGTGGCCAGTGGGGTTGGACGAATGCCCCTCTGAGCCCTCCTGTCCCCGCAGACGGCAGCAAAAGCGCGGCTGAACTTAAGACCTTAGCGGCCAGCCCTGGGTGTAGGAGTTCCAAGTGGGGCAGGCATTTACAGACACAAAATTGTCAGGCCCTTTGGCTGAAGTCAGAGCACGGCACAGCGGGGCAGACAGCACCCCCACCTCCCGGGCAGGTGGGGCTCCAGCGCGAGCCTGCTGACGCTGGCCTGGGCTGAGCCCAGCTCTGCCTTCCACAGTTCTATGGTTTCCCCGGCCCACTTTTCTCATGGGTAACCTCAGGCACTACCGCTCCAACCTGCGCAGGTTATCCCAGAGATCAAGTGAAACAGTGGACCTGAAACACCAGGCCCCAGGTGACAAATGCCAGCCGCCATCCCTCTTTGTCTCCCCATCCTTTCCTCCCCCTAGAAGAACACGGATGAAGAAGCCATCCCTCAGCTTGCAGCCCTCCACAGCCCACACCAGCACACTTCTCATCTGCGCGCGCGCGCGCACGCACACACACACACACACACACACACACGTGCCTCCCACCCCTAACCCCTCCGTCAGATTTTCCTCCCTGTGATGGCAGCACAGTACCAAACATTCTGCAGTTTGCTGAGCAGGGTCCCTGCATGAGCCACGCCTGCACACACAGAGCAAACCCACAGCCCCAGCACAGGAAGCACTTCTGCTGCAGTCAGAAAATGCCTCTGGTGTTCAAGTCGGGTGTGTGGGGCTGCTCCTATTCCAGAGCACTCACCCTGCACCTGCCAAGCACCCCGGCCTTCAGCTCACAGAGAACGCTGTGGAGAAGCTACAGCCAGCTGCTGCTCTGCCCCAGGTCACTGGCCCCAGGATACAAAGTTCTTTAGCACCAGACTGCTGGAGGCCTGGGCCGCAGCCAACAGCCAAGGCTGAAATCAGGGGAAGGGGCACCACCTCCTGAGCCCTGGAGGCCGGCTGGGCCTGGCTGCTGGCTGTAGGAGGGCAGAGAAGGCAGAGAGGTGGTCTTGCAGGGCGGGTGAGCCCCAGGCCACAGGTTGCTGCTCCCCTGGCCCCTCAGGAATGAGCAACACTCTGAGGGAACTGGCCCGAGGCTGCAGACTTGTGCGATGGGTTTAGGATATGGTGCCATTTGAGGTTAAAGGCATGGAAATGCCAACCAGCAGGCAGAGTGGGGCCTGGGAGGGCTGCTCAGGGGGGCTGTCCTATGAATGGAGGGCAAGGATCACACCTCCCGAAGCCCAGCTCACTGCCATAGTCATGCAACCCTTGCCACCACCCTCCCCGCAACCTGTGCAGTGCCTTCTTCCCAGAACACCTTCACCCTTTCTAGAAAATGGTTAACTCAGTTCTTCCCTGGTTGAATCCCACTGCCCTCCCAGGCCTACAGTCCAGGCCTTCCCAGAATCAGTGTCCACGAGGGAAACCGTGCTGTGCCTGTGCCCGCGGCTCTGCAAGTAGGACCCTCACAAGCTAGTGTCACGGGCTGGTCTTGGGTTCACGTTTGAGGAGGGTCTGGCCTGGCCCAGGGGGAGGAGCTGAGTGGGCAGAGTCCCAAGGCTCCCCAACCCCCTGCCTCCCTGCAGCCGAGCCCAGGAGAGGCCTCTGCACAGCTCTGGGGCAACAGAGGCGGGGCCCCATGGGGCAGAGGCCCCGGGGAGAAGCTGACTGCCTGAGGTGCAGCAGAGGAGAAGGCCTTGGGCACCTAAATATCCTGGGAACCCCTGACGCTCGCCTCCTGCTCCAGCCTGTCCCGGTATCCTGGCGTGACAGGCTCCTTCCTCATCATGGGGCTTTCCCAGCACGGCCCCCTCAGGCCAGCACCGGTGCAGGTGCACCCTGTCAGCAGCACCCCAGGACACACAACAGGGCCGGGAAAGGCCGAGGGGCCAGGCACCCACTTGGCTCATGCTGTACCCCACCTTAGGGGTGTCAGCCTGGGGGACGGTTATCGAGAAGTCCTTGAAGTTGCCAAGTGTACCTAAGAATCTGCCTTAAAAACTCTGAGGAAAATTTTTGCCAGTTACTCTTCAGACAGAGGACTAATACCTAGAATATATAAAGAAATCAAAAAAATTAAGCCCCTAACTTTAAAGACCCAATCCAAAAGTGGGCATCTGAAAGGAATAGAGACTTCTCAGATGAGGAAGTACAAGTGGCCGAAAACTACAAGAAAAAATGTTTGGCATCGCTGGCCATGCGAGAAATGCAAATTAAACAACACTGAGATTCCATCTTCATCCAGAGAGAAAGGTGATCTTCAAGAAGTCAAAGAATAACAAATGCTAGAGAGGCTGCAGGAAAAGAACCCTTCTCCACTGTAGGTGGGAACATAAACTAGTACAACCACTATGGAAATTAGTATGGAGATTCCTCAAAACACTAAAACTAAAAATTCCATTTGACCCAGCTGTTCCCCTCCTAGGTATCATCCCAAAGAGGTAAAGACATCATATTACAGTGACTCATGCATACCCATGTTTATAGCAGCACAATTCATAATAGCTAAATCTTGGAAACTGCCTACATGTCCATTAACAGATGAATGGATAAAGAAATGTAGTGTTTACACAGGAGTACTGTTCTCCGCAAAGGATAAACCTGAGTCATCTGTAGGAAAATGGGTGCATTTGATGTAATTGAAGTAAATCAGACACATTAATGCTGAAATACTGCATGGTTTCTCTTATATGAGAAACCCAATATATAAAAAAGTACAAAATAAAAGACAGACATTAGGAAAAAAAGAGAAAAGTTATTCTAATCTAGCATGACTGATGTATCTGAAAGTGTACTTTGATTTACTATAATCATTTTATATATTTTTTGGTCCGTTAGTCTGGCTATAAATCTGTGTTTGTTAATTAACTTGATAAAGACTTTAAAATAAATAAATCTGATGTTAGCAAAAAAAAAAAAAAGGATGTGTTATATACATGTACCGACTCCCCATGATGAAGGTAATCATTGTGTATCACAGACACGTACCAATAAAAACAAAAATTAAAAAACCCAGAGGGCCTGGTTGATCAAACTCGACCCTCACACTGGGCTGAGCCACCCTCCCTTGATGGGGGGCTGCTGCCAGGGACAAGGGAGCCTTTGCCCCGGGGGAGAGGCACTTCTGCATCCTGCCAGCACACCTACGAGCACAGGGCACACACGCCTCTGGGGACAACACACTGTCACGGGCTGCTGTTGACACCACAGCAACATTCTCCTTTCTCACTGCAGAGATGGGGAGTAAAAAAAGTAAGCGCCACTTCCCAAAGACCCCTCACCCGGCTTTTCTTCTTCAGAGAGCTGACAGCCCAGAGGCTGTTTGCTATTTTCTGAAAATGCCAGCTGACAGATCCCTCTCTTGGCCTCTGGTTGTGCGTTAGAGATGGAAATCAGACGGCTGTGACTGTCACCGAGGAAGTGTAAACAACTACTTGTGAGCAAGGATGAACCACTGTGATTTCAGGGGCATCTGGTGCACCTGCTTCTCCTCTGCTGCCTCTAAGGATGGCTCACAGAGTTTCCATCTCTTCTGGTTTCGGTTTTCTCCCCAACACTGGGTCCATGAGCTCAGCCTTCCCCTACCCAAAGGGTATGAAAGTCATGGAGTTGGGAAGGTGCCTATGATAGTGCACCAGATGACACAGGGCAAGGCCTTGACATCATCTGCCCCAGTCCCAATGAGCTGCCTAAGTGGCTTCCACAGCACACAGCCATGGCGTTCTGCCCACATCCTGATGCCAGAAAATGGAACACAATGGTGAACAGTGAAGCTACAGGGATAGCCACTCCTTCCTGGGCCCTGGGCCTATGTAAGGGCTGCTTCATGTGTCCAGATTCACATAACCCTCAGGACTCCACCCGCAACTTCTACAGAAATAGAACCATGCATGGTGGGACAAAATAACACGCAGAACCAGCTTTGAGTCCAACTTGTATCCTCCCTCTAGAGTGGGAGCTCAGACCTGTTAGGGATTAGGGTTGTCACCCAAATATGGGACTAAATTGTGGCTTTCTTCAGAAGCACAGTAGACACCAAAAATTCAAACCAAAAGAATGAATCCTGAAAAAAAAAAAAAAACTGAACTCCAGCAGGCCATCACCAGCATTTCTTGCTGCCCGCCGGACCGCTTAACTGGTCAGTGCCAGGGGAGTCATGTGTCCCAGATCAGTCAGGACAGTTCAATTTGCCCAACATCTCATCAAATGTCCCCAGAAACTCTGTGACTTCACATCTGAACTACATCTCCCAGGCTGCCTCTTACAGCCCAAATTCCATCTTCCGGGCACTTTGGGCCAAGACAATATAGCCAGTGTGGCGTGCTCTTGGTCAGAGCAGCCTAGGGGCTGGAGTAGCTGGGGATCAGGGCAGGGCAGCCCCCAACAGCTCTTGCAGCCAAGAAGCAGGCTTGGAACCTTCCTTCTAGGATCCACCTTGATTCAGTTCTAAATATCCCTGTTCTCCCCTTAGAGGGCAACTGTGGGCAGGAGGCCACAAGGAAGGGAAAGGCAATGTCCTGCCTAGGGCGATGGCAGTGTGTGAGTGCTGAGAAGCCAGCAGTCCCAGAAGCTCAGCAAACCATCTCAAAGATGT